CCGCGGGTGCGGGGGGCAGCAGCCGGGGCCGTGCGAGCAGCCGGGGGGGGGCGGCCCGGGCTGGGCACCGGGCGAGGACCGAGCCCCGGGCGGCTGGGGGAGGGTTCTCCCGGGGGCAAGCCGCCTGCGTAGGTTTTAGACGGCTTGTGCAGCCTTCGAGGGGGAGAGAAGAGAAGGAACGTTGAGAAAAAAGCGTTTAACTTTTGTATAACAACCACGGGTTCGTAGCACAACCCCTCTCATCTCCGTCCCCGGTGTTGAGGGACAGACACCAGCACTCGTGTACACCAGCCCCTGTCCTAGGGCAAGTCCAAAGCAATCCACAAGGAGACTAGTGGTTACTTTTCTTCCTGTGCCATGTTATAATGAACAGTAAATTGTCGTGACAGCTGAAGCCAGATGTGTCACACAGCTTAGTGCTAGCGATGCGAATTACCCAAAAGTTCGTGGAAATTCCTTGTGGCTTTCTAGGGCTGTGTCTGGCATAAAGAAGCCTGAAAATATCAGTTAAAAATAAAGCGTAACTAAGTGGAAAGAAAGAAAGATGTAGTCATTAAAGAAGATATTTAGCACACGGACAATGCGCTCATTTAATATGTTTCCCTCTGTTACTTGTCTCTGTTCAATAAAACCCAAATTATTATTAGTACTTACAAAGCCAAATAGAGCAGCAAAGGCTCACGGCCAGTTTTTGCTCAGATGTGCCAGGTATTTCAGTAACTCAGCCTCTGACTGTAAGCTGGTGAATGACTTGTATCATTCATGTACATCCTTCCTCACGGCTTGATGCTTTCAGGGAAACAGTGTTAACTTGACCATTGCTCTTTAGCCAAAAGCAGTATGGTACTCCCTGCATTAATGTTTTGATGTCATTTTTGGAAAATGATGAACAAAAATGCCTTTTCTTAATCTTCTCTAAACACGTATAGAAGAAAGGTCTTGAAGGTATGATATAGTAGCAAAGTAAGAAATATTTTCAACCCTAGTTGTATATTTATAGTAAAGTTGTGTTGTAAACATAACTAAGTATCCATTTTTATAAGAAATAGTCCAACTTAATTGAGAGAACAATGAATAAAACAGCATAGATGTAGATTAAAAAATTTCCATGGGTGAATGCTTTCTATCTTAAAGGTCTTTTCCAACCTAAATGATTCTGTGAGTCTATAAAGTCAACAAGCTGTATTTTTTATTTAGCACTGAATACATGCACTAATTCCCATGCTCTATTTTTTGTTTGTAGATCCTAGTAAATGTGGGCAATTTTTTCACGTTGGAGTCTGTCTTTGTAGCACCAAGAAAAGGAATTTACAGTTTCAGTTTCCACGTAATTAAAGTCTATCAGAGTCAAACAATTCAGGTATGTTGATTGAGTATGTTTATAAAATCTTTTACTTAAATTGTTTATTTAGAATAGGATCTTGGCTGAACACGAGTATTTAACACACTTTCAAGTAAAAATAGCTTAGTTTAAAGCAACCTGTGGTGTAGAGTTCCTAGCAGCAGAGTGAATACAGTTAAACTGAACAGCTGTAATAAGGTGGGATCCTCACCTCAGATAAATTGCCACAGCTTCTCTTCTGTACCAGAAGAACTGAGCATCTGGGGTGATATAAAGTATTAAATAGAATGGATCATCCAAGAGTAAAATAGAGCTCTAAATATCACTTAATTGCATAAATACTATTGAAAAGTCATATTTTGCTACAGGTAAACTCACTGTCTTGAACATAGGAGTTCTGGGGATACGTACCAGATTTGGCTATTTTTGTAACATTTTGTGACCAGGCTGACAGCTCATGATGCCAGGTATCTGTTTATGACAGCAGTCTGTTGTTGACCAACGTTAGTTAAGGTGGTCTACTTGTTCTGTAACTACACCAAAATGTTATACCTCTACAGTGATGTCTTCCAGGGAACCTTTATAGCAGTTTAAACTTTTTTTCACTATATAATACATAAAAGATGTGTCATATATTAAGAAGAAATGGAGTGATTCTGCACTTTCTTCTGTAATTTAATAGAAGCTGAACTACCTAATTAAATACAAGTTCATAATAGCTTAGAGGAAAAGCCTCTAAGTTCCTGAACATCTCCTTGCTGAGCCAATAGTAAATTCCTTAAAGTACATTCTTTAATTTTCATGCCAGGTCACGCAATTTCTGTGACATACATACTAGCTTTCTAGATCTGGAATAACATCTCTGGCTTCCCTTGTTTCCACCCATGAGACCACCAGATGCGTAGAAGTATCTGATGCTTTTCCCCTGATTTGTCTTGCTCCTGAATATGGTTTTCAGTGCCCAATGCTGAGATGAAACGGACTTCTGCAGGAGGAGCGATCGGCCGTTTCTTTGTGGCAGCTCTGGCTTTGGGTTGCTGGTGAAGCTCCTGATGGTAGAGATGGCAGAGAAAGCGGGTGCAAGACACAGCCACATCCCTGGTGAAATTCACCTTCAGTTTGCAACATGAAATCATGGTTCCATTCAGGTCAATGACAGCAGTCTTAGATGAAATTTTGACCTCATGAAAAGCTCTATAATGAGCTTATAAGCTATTTAGTACGCTCAGACTTTGTCCCTTTCACTCCCTTAAATGTTGAAGGTTGAAGTGGCCTGGAATAACTGTGTGCCAGTCAGCTTCCTTGGATTTAAAATACACATTGTCAAGAAAGGTGTCAAGGCTTGGATTCTGGAAGTCCAGTGCAGACTTTGGTGTTTCACGTACCGGGTGCTCAAACATGGACATCTGGGGCTTGTAATGGGGAGTGCTACAACCTGTGACATGGCCCAAAATCTTTCATAGATTGCGTTTCTAAAGTGATGGATGGGTTTGGGTGGCTCCATTTTGGCATAATTAACGTGAGACCATCTGGTGCAAAACTGTGATGTGTCTTCTGCTGTGACTGAAACAGCTCTAAGATGATCTGCAGGGGAACCTGACCTAGAGAGATGGTACAGAAGAAATGAGACAAACCAAAACCAAGCAATGAGTAAACTCTTAATGCCCTTTTTTTTGCATGTGTGATAACTAGGGGGGAGGACCAAAAGCCGTTGCAGTGGAGCAAACCAGCTCGAGTCTCAGCCACATGCAGACTTAAACACCACTAAATCACCTGAAGGCTTCCTACATAAGTGATATTACTATGCCCCTGGAACATCTGCTAGTGCCATTAAATATCATTAAACCGAAATTGCTTCCCTGGGGACATCTGATTAAGTGGATTTCCCAGATAGGTGGATCCCAAATCAGGGCCAGATTCTGCTGCCCTGACTTATGCTGAGCACTAATTTATTCTGTGGTGACTCCCGTTAAAATTAATGGGGGCATACGCAAGGCCAGCATACTCGATATGAATAAGCATTTCATAATTCACCCCTCCATGACTGCATTATAGCCGCTTAAAAAGAAGAAGCAGAAGAAAGCTAATAGTTTGCCATTGGGGAAATGAAAGATGCCTGGATCTGTCTGTTCCCCCAGCCCCTGCCCATCTTTATTTACAGAGAGTCTGTGTGATGTTGATTTCAGAGCAGAGCCTGTGCTGACTTTCAGAAGTGTTTAACGGAAAAAAGGATTCAGTACCAAAACACAGTGCAGTGGTTCATAAAGCTAAAGGGCTGTTCTAGACTAAAACTGTCACCGTCGGTAATGGAAGGGACGTGTGTTTTGCTCTCAGCGAAGTGTAAGCTCCCGGCCCACTGTGGTACCTTTAACATCACATTAGGTGCCTGTATTGCGTCTCTGGGTGCTTAAGCCTCTTGAAAATGTCTTTGCTACTGTATGTCTAAATAACCTGTGAGGTAGGCAAAGCGAAACAAACTGAGGCACCAGCTCACAGTTCCGTATTACCAGAGAGTTACAACCATTAACACTCCCAAGCAACAGATGAAAGCAATGTCGTGTTGCCTGTTGTGCTGACTGAGCCTGGACCATGGCACTCGGTGGACACTGAATTTGCTCAGCTGCAGGTCAAGCCCATGAAGCATGAATGTGCTTGTACATGCCAAAGAAATGTAATTATTAGTTTGAAACAAAGAATAATAGCAGTGAAGTTGGGGACCTTAGCAGACCTCTCACACTGTAGTTAATATTCGGTGGTAGTTCTTGAAGTTTTTCTGTTAATTAGAGCTTTTCAGTGTTTTTTTTTTTTTTCTCTTGTAGGTTAATTTGATGCTAAATGGAAAGCCAGTCATTTCTGCTTTTGCTGGGGACAAGGACGTCACACGTGAAGCTGCCACGAATGGAGTCCTGCTCTATCTAGACAAGGAGGATAAGGTTTACCTGAAATTGGAGAAAGGTAATCTGGTCGGTGGATGGCAGTATTCTACATTTTCTGGCTTTCTGGTCTTTCCCCTGTAAAGTCAATTTTCCTGTGACATTCACCCAGGTGTGGACTCATCATTGCCTCTGTTACATGAAGATCATTTTATCATCATGGGATTGATGTTTCTTTATTGGTTTTTCATGGGTGAATATGGATTCTCTTTATGGATTTTGGCTCCATCTGAACTACTCAGAAGTTTCACAGAATTTTGTGTGTTTAAATACAATATATTTGGATTGAGACTAAAGCAGACAATAAATATCTATGCTTAATGTTACAGTCTAAAGCTGCCTGCAAGATTTATTCAGATTTCATTTACTGGACTTATTGGATTCATGGGAGAAGTGGATTTTGTTTAATTATGAAAAGACTGGCAACCAGGTCTATAGGAGAGCTTGAGTTCAGACTTCAATCAAGAGTTAGTGTGTTGCTGCCAAAGAACTGTATATTGATATATTGGTCATACATGTTTTTGTCATTCGGACTTAACTGACATGATCTATTCCATTGTCTTGAGAAAGGTAATTATTATTGATAAGTGGTTGACTTAATTCTCCTCTGCGTGTAGTGTATTGGATGATTCACCCATATATTTATGCTCTGTCACTGGTCACAATCAAGTCTAGCTTACCTAAAGCTAAGAGGTTATGGTTGTGTTTTAGTTGGCTATGTAAGGTATTCCTCTTTTCCACGTGCTGCTTTCTAAAAAGAAGAGCAGATTATAACCATTAAGAAAAATATTCTTACCGCGGTTAAAGGTGATCATTCAGGCACAACTTTGCAAAACAGCTTTGCCCTGTAGGAAATCTCACACTTGTTCTTCAATTTTAATTAAATGATTGATAATAACTGCTTTATTAAAACCCTAAGGGAGTCCTTCCTTAGACACAAGCGCTTTATTAGCTGAAGATGAGATCCCCTTGTTTGTAATTATGTCTATTTTTCAATCCTTTTGTTGTGTTAAAGGAATCATCTGGTTTTGCCTTAACTCCACAACTGTATATAATTTTAGATCATATGTTTAAAAAATACAAAATCCAAATAGCCGGTACCTAACTTGGTGCAATAGCTTTTCGGCTTTTTGTACAAGTCGTATGAATTCATAAACTTATTTATTATGTCATTGTTACATAATAAAGATTAATATATGTTAGCTGAATTTTTGACCTTTCGATTTTGGAAGTCACTTCATGCTATTTTTTTATTGGATATAATTATTATATGCAAAGTAAGCTTTTGGGATTCACAGAAACTGTCCTAGGAGGCAGGCAAACTGTCAAAATTTAGTCTGGCAGAATCCTAGAGGTAATCAAAATGATCTAGAAATAACCTATGCATTTTATTTAAAAAACATTTAGACAGAAATCCTGGCTTCACTGAAGTTAGTGTTAAGAATCACATTGATTCCAAAGGATTTTGGATGAGACCTGTGCTTTAGGTTTTGCCATCAGCATTAAACTCCAGTGCCATCAAATTGAATATCAATTAAAAATTATTTTCACATGAACTGCTAATGAAATCTTCATTCCTCATGCCCAAAATATACCCTGAATTCGATGGATATTTGTGCCTTGCATATCATGAAGGATATGGTTCTAAATTAAAAAATACTATATATCTGAGAATGGTTCCGGATGGAGGCATACCCAGCAGTCTGGGACCTTCTTTAAAAGCCGGTTTAGGCTTGGATTTGCTGTTTTAGGTAATCTGTTTCCAATTTCTTCACTTGTTAGCCAAGTGCAGTGTATCATATTGCTCTAAACGTTGTAAATGGATATTTCACTGATTCAAAGTCTAATGCATGGCTGGTTGATGCTCCTGATAAAAAATGTCAGTGAATCAGCAGCACAGAATTGTGCCCAAATTCCTTATTTTTCTGGACCCAACATACAGGATATTTTTGTGAATTTCAGGAGGATAGGTGGGTACATTTGGACCCCTACAAGATAGGTCAGATGAGGAGGTCATTTGTTAGACACAGTATCATTTCTGTAGAACACTGCAGTTTGGAAGGAAGTGGAAAGACACGGCAAGAAGGCAAATGATTCACATTGCTGAAAAATATAAAAAAGTTTTCCGTTATAACTAATCAAAGTGTACCCCAAAAATGTGTATATACGTATACGTATATCTAAACCCCCCCGGGGGTTGCAGCACATAGTATGCATGGTATTATGAAAAGGTTATTTGTCCTAAGAGTTTATTTCAGAGGGGAACATCAGTATTTTGTACAAAATTAGTAAAATCTGAAAGCTCACCTTTCCTATTGGTATATGTGTAATGCAGAGGAAACATTGCTCCTACACCAACAGAAGAAAAATGGCATTGAAGGTGCCAGTATACTTTTCAGAATGATCAGATGTATCTAACTTCTTTAGTTTGTAAACATATGATCTTTAAAAGCTGCCTTTAGCATTCAGCAATAATACTGAACTATCTTAATATACTGTTGATTTCCCCGTGGCAAAACATTTCTGATTGCTTCAGAGTCATTAACAGTTATTTAAACTTTAACTACAGAGTCTAGGAAGTTATTCAATTAAGGAGATATATTTTGATGGAAATATCCTAAATTTTTCTTCTCAGCCTCTAAAATCACAATTACTAACTAATTATTTTACTAGGTGAAGGAAAAAAAGTTTCAGAGAAGTCACAGTAAAGCAGCTTGTATTATCTTCACACAACGCTGAGCGCTGACTCCACTCAGAGGTGGCCTCTAGAGATGGGCACTTCTCTTGGCTCATGTTTAAACACTTAAGTAAGAACAACCTATGTTTTTTAGACTACAATTTGAGCTGTTTTCCAGATCTTGAGTGTATTTTCATTGTATGGTCCCACACTTCAATCTCATCAGTAGGAGCATCTCCCAGAAGACATACAATAAGCTAGCCTAGATGGAGCTGGATCTGGAAACTACCGTTTTTCTTCTCTCTCTTTCCTCGTTCCTTTTCCTTCTGTCTTCCCGTGTTACTGCTACAGTAGCTGTCTTGTTCAGAAGCAACAGCTCAGGAGACACTTCAAATTTCAAAGGGTATTTAAGATTAGAGGTTTCACTTTTTTTTTTTTTTAAAGAACTTAAACCTCCACTGAGCTGCACTGTAAAGTTTAGAGCTGAATTTCTGATCCTGTTGAATTCGATGGTGATAGCCTTACTGATTTCGGGGAGGGCAGAATTTCCCACTCTGTGCATATCCCTGCTAAGGAACATGCTGAGGATCTGCAGCCACATCCTTCAACATACACCCACTTTGCAGTCAGTCTTACAAAGGCTGATCGTGCAAGAAAACTTTCTGGCCATATGTGGTAAAGAGAAAAGAAAAAAGTTACTTTCTGAGAATAATGTATAAATTGTTATTGTCAGTGCTCTCTTTACAAAGGAGATCAGTATTTTAACCTGTTTATCTGTATTTTATTTATACTTCCATTTTATCCTTGTTTTATTACAAAACTAAGGGGGAAAAAAAGGACTATATTGTCCTCCTCAAGTGATGTAGGTGTTTTTGGTAAAGGCAGGAATACCCTGGTCTCCTAGATTCATCTGGTGTAGAAAGCTGCTCTGTTGTGTTGAACCCAATTTGCTATGAAGAATTTAGGCTACACAGGCCAATGACTGTGTGGCCAAAAAAGATACCTTTCAAAAAAGCCTGGGTTATGGAAGTGTTTTTGGAATAGGCACTGAGGTAGCTCTGAAAATTTGACGTGCAGTTTTGTCTTTATATAGAAAGGAAAAACTGACTTTGAAGCATAGAGAAGGAAAACATATTTCTTTTTCTAAGCAACATTTTGTATTTGTATTATGTCATTTTCTAGAAGTATCCGTACATTTTCTGAGTGTTAATTAAATGACTTTGGCCAGGTCATGGCAGAGTAAGTATTGCCACCTCAGTGTTACTACTGAGAAAATGGAGACAGGGTTTGGGAGATGACCAGTGCCATACCCAGAGTGCCAAATCATCCGCTGCTGGTGCTTGGTCCTGTTCAGTTTGCTGGATCAAGCCTTTTTCTGATACAAGGCGTTTTTTTAAAACAAAGGATGGTTTTGGAGTCAATGGCACACTGCTGTGTTTCCTCTTCTGTATTATTTAGATAACTATTTGTAGAAAGATGAATGCAGTGAAACAGGACAGTTTTAAATGCCCTAAGAATTTCACAATTAGTTATGAACAGTCTTTTTTTTATTTTATTTTTTTTTTTTTTCCCTGCAAGCCCCCAAAGGAACATATCTGCAGCATGTATAGTATTTTTACAAGCAGGTTTTAGGATAGAGAAGATAAATGCAAGAAGCAGTATGTCATAATCACAAAAAGGAAGCCGAACCATTAACGTGAAATATGGGCTGAAGCAGAGAAGCAGATATGTGTTCTCCTCATTTTATAAGGGTTTCTGAGTTGGTAACATGTTTTACCTTAGCAATTCATTACAGTTGTCCTTCACAGTGTAAGAGCTTTTTGTAATATACAAACTCTTTGTCTTCTAAAGACAATGCTAACCAGATGACTCGATGTAAATAAATGAAGATCCCCAGTGACAGAATTTATTGGCTGGCACATGCCACAACAACGTATTTTTTGTACTATTGCTGTCCAGATGGAAAAGGCTCCTTGGAGAAAAGACTTTGTCTTAGACACTGAGCTACAGTTATTTATCTGTTGCTGGTTAGGAATGGGGGGGTGGGTGGGGAAAAACCTTTCTTGCCCTAGAGCGCTGAGGGGAAGGCATACAAAGAATAATGATAAAATCAGTCACCGTTATATAAGTGATGATGAGAATAATGGAAATGTGGCTTGAATAGTCTGTTTAGTGAAAGCTGTGATCTAAGGCGTTTGATGGAAGCAATCACTATTTTAATCTTCACAGTTAGAGGGAAGGGAAAAAACCAGTTGCATCATTTTTAACAGGTTCTTTTCCTTCTTTTTATTTTTTTTTCTTTTTTCCTTCTGCCTTGTTCTGCTTAGCTGCAAAAAAAAAAAAAAGTGATCAGAAATTATCTAAGAAAAGTTAATTTCTGAAAAGGGATGGGGAGGTTGTTTGGTGTTGTGTTGTTTTTTTTTTTTTTTTTCCCCCTCCCCCAGTATCTGACATGGGGGGGAAAAACCCAAGCAGGAGAAGGAGGGAAAATGACAAACTTGACAGAACCAAAATAAATTGACCTATCGTCCAGTTCAGTGAATTGCCTAAATATGTTCTGCTTATATACGTAACACTTTTCTACAATGCATGATACTGACCCATCCTGTTAAGGCCACCGTATTGTAATCTGATGGCTTTTAATTCTGCTGGAGGAAACGAGATGTAGAAGTGTAGTGCAGAGCACTGGAGATTGGCAAATAAAACAGCTTTATCTCTGTACTTACACGTGTGCCTGGATTTACTCCCTCGAAGCAGGTCTGTCATCCCTGGGGCATTTTGGTGCAAAGGGCAAATGTGTGTATGAGCATTGACACACCTGAAAAC